AAAGGTTCTTTTGACTTCAATTAAAAATAGCCTTCCAGTGAAGAGATGGGTTCTGTGTTTGAAAATGCAATTTGGGTTAGCAATGAATGTGTTTATTAGCATGTTTGTGACAATTATTTCCCAATGTATACGTGTGTCAAAACATCCAATTGTTCACCTTAAATGTGTACAATTCTTATGTATTAGTTATAGCTCAGGAAAGCTGGGGGAGGGGCAAGATGATACAATTTTTTGTTAGCTATCTAGTGTATGAGTATAACAACAAAATGGCCGTTATCTGTCTGGATGTTTCAGTATTCAAGTTCTGCAGAATTGGTGGGAACTTTTAGTGAATTGGAAGTTCATTATTCATTGTATTTTTGTTTGCAAAGATTGAGTCAACTGTCCATTTCTAAGTTCTGCAAGGAAATACTAAAAGCACACTAAGGTGGAATGCTCCTTGAATATTAAAATTCTTAACACTGATGTTAATCATTTATTCATTTTTTTTCCTCTAAAAAGCAGTTGAGCACAGCAGGAGACAACATGGTGCCAGTAGTGGCTTTAGAATCAGAATATAGGGCGCCTGGGTGGCTCAGTCGGTTAAGCTACTGCTTTCGGCTCAGGTCATGATCCTGGAGTCCCGGGGTTGAGTCCCGCATCGGCTCCCGGTTCAGCAGGGAGCCTGCTTCTCCCTCTGACCCTCCTCCCTCTCATGCTCGCTCTCTCTCATTCTCTCTCTCTCTCTCAATAAATAAATAAATAAAAATCTTTAAAAAAAAAACAAATACTGGGGCGCCTGGGTGGCTCAGTCGGTTAAGCGGCTGCCTTCAGCTCAGGTCATGATCCCAGGGTCCTGGAATCGAGTCCCGCATCGGGTTCCCTGCTCCGCGGGAAGCCTGCTTCTCCCTCTCCCACTCCCCCTGCTTGTGTTCCCTCTCTCGCTGTGTCTCTCTCTGTCAAATAAATAAATAAAATCTAAAAAAAAAAAAAAAAAAAAAAATCAGAACATATGGATTTGACACCGGGATCCTCAGTTACTGGCTGTGGGGCTTAGATGCGTTGTGGGGCCTCAGTTTCCTCTTCTGATGGGGTTGGTGACACCTGTGCAGTCCACAACAGTAGTCACTAGCCACATGTAGCTTTTTAAATTAAAATTTGAATTAAAATTTAAAATTTAGCTCTTTGTCACAGTATTTGGACATGAGGCTGTGGCCGTGTTGGACGGCGAGGTAGAGAACACCTGCGTCTTCATAGGAGGTCCTGTGGGATAGCACTGATAAGTACCTTTGATGGTGGCCAATACTGAGCAGGTATTGCAGCTCTTTGCAAACAAAAATACAATGAATAATGAACAAAGATGAGATATTGTTGAGTCTATGTAGTTTGTGTACTTTGAAAAATGTATCTAATGCGGGGCAGCTGGGTGGCTCAGTCCGCTAGGTGTCCGACTCTTAATTTTGGCTCAGGGCATGATCTCACGGTCACGAGATCGAGCCCTTTGTTGGGCTTCGCACTGGGTGCAGAGTCTGCTTGAGATTCTCTCCTTCTCTCGAAAATAAGTAAATAAATCTCATTTATTTATTTATTTTAAAGATTTTATTTATTTATTTGACAGAGAGAGAGACAGTGAGAGAGGGAACACAAGCAGGAGGAGTGGGAGAGGGAGAAGCAGGCCTCCCGCGGAGCAGGGAGCCCGAGGCGGGGCTCGACCCCAGGACCCTGGGACCATGACCTGAGCCGAAGGCAGACGCTTAACGACTGAGCCACCCAGGCGCCCCAATAAATCTCTTTTAAAAACGTATCTAATGCGTAAAGAAGTAAACCGTGTTTTATCTTCTTTGAGCACATTTGCCGAACATTGGTCCAAGGCAACAAAGGGTTGCGGAAGGCCATCTTGGGATGAAAATTTTTTCAGATAATTCATATCTGCTATCTGGAGTTGCCTATAGTTTAAATTGGGAGAAACCAGATCAGATTTTAGGATTTTGCTTGGCGTTTCATTCATTCTCTTAGCTCTCCTTTAATGGGGAGCAGTGGGTTGTCAGGTAAACTTGACCGGTTTTCCAGATCATTGCAAGGATGGGATTGGTTGCATGTGATACGTTGTGGCTGCGGTGTTGGCATGAAGATGGCGTCCAGTCCACACACGAGGTGCGTGGGTTGCTGGACTCTGCATCGTGCTGTGGACTCTGCCCTGTATTTTACTGTACATACAGCTAGCTGGTTGAGCTGTAAAGCACCATAACTTAGTCTTTTAATTTTCTTCCCGGAGATTGCAGCTTCTAGTCCGTAGGGTTTCTGGGATTATGCAGTCATAGAAATGCACACATGGCCTCCGTTCCAGAGAAATCTGATGATTGTCTTCAAGTAAATTGGCAACACTTGTGTCCATTTAGTGAGGTTTTGTTCGCTTGTTATTTCATCTTTGGAGAATGACCCAGGAGTGACCAAGTGTATTTGTAGGCAGATAAAGGCAGCAATAAGGTGATGGTGGGACCTGGGCAGGGGCACTTGTAAATTGAACAGCAGAAACATACTGTTTCATCTTACAAACTTTCTGATCCAATCTCTCCTGTAGCTTCAGGCTGCTGGCAAAGGCCTAACTAGCAGTAAAAGCAAGGATGACCTGGTGGTAGCTGAGGTCGAGATCAACGATGTGCCTCTCACATGCAGGAACCTGCTGACTCGAGGGCAGACTCAGGACGAGGTGGGCAGATGTCGGGTCCCTTTGGGGAAGGTGGTGGGTGGGCACAGTCAGGAAAACAAGACCTCTAACTACAGACAGGAGTCAGATGTTTATGAGTGGGTTTGGGTCATAATCTCCAAAGTCAGGATTGGGTTGAATTAACCGCAGAGGAACTTCTCAGTGAAGGTAAAGAAACAGATATGGGTGGATTCCCCTGGTCAGGTGAGCAAAAAACTACGGAATTGAGGTTTCAGATACAGGAGAGAACTCATTCCTATCTACTGGTGTAGCGATTGAATGGGGAAAATCCATCTTTCTGCCTGCCATTGACCTCGATCAGCTGCCACATCACCTTTTTAATAGAACGTTTCCCTTTTAGATCAGCCGACTTAGTGGGGCTGCGGTGTCAACTCGAGGGAGATTCATGACCGCTGAGGAGAAGGCCAAAGTGGGACCGGGGTGTGTATGCACATCATTTGCTTTGGGGAAAGGTTGGACATGTGGCTCACATTAGTTTCATGTTTTTCATGCTTAGGAAATATGTGCAAATATTTGGTTAGTAGCTTGGTGTGTGTATATACACATGCTACGTAGTAGAATTTGGGACAGCTCAAACACGTAAGGAGTTGGGAACCGTTTTCCTTCCTGTTGCTCTGTGGATTTTTTATTTCACAGGCAATATTTTATTGGAGGAAACAAATTATGGAAAAGTGTAAAATGAGATAATTGCTACATTTAATGTATACACTTCCAAATTTCTGTATGGGAATATTTCCCCCAACAAAAGGGTCTGTATTTTGTTGTAATCTCCCTTTTTAAAAAAAAAAAAAACCTCCTTTCATCAGGCTGTAAGGTTTTCTGCCGAATGATTTTGTCCCCTTATAGTTGCATCCCTCCCATGACTCAGTTTTGAGGGCAGGTAGGCATGCGACGCTTTTTGCATTGGCTTAAACTAAATATAATTAGGAGGCAAAACTTGGTCCCCACCTGAAACCAGCATTTCAATTTTTTGTGTGTACTGGTTGCTGTTTTGAATTTTTTTGTCTTTAAATACTGTTATTTTTTTATCTATAGCTTTATATTAACTATGGTTTTTGATGATCTCTATTATTATAATCAAAATCGGAATCCATGCCACTTTACATTTAGAATCTAGAGTTCCCTTGGTGTGGGCCTCAGAGACATGGGCCCACAGGCCGCCATCACTTTGCTCCTTTAATTTGGATAGCCGGGAGCACAATTGCCCATAACCTGTTAGACAACCAGCAAAAAGGAATATTGTTCTCAGGCCTCAGGTTATCTCGGTTGACTAGATGCCAATATTCATGAGCCCGTAAGAACAGATTTGATCGCTGTGTGGACCAATTAACTTGAAGCAACCAGAAAAGGTTATTTATTCCCCAGCTATAAAACCATGTTCCTAGAAATTTGCAGCAGCCATTTCCTTGTATGTAGTCCCTTTTACTTATTTGGAAACTGGAAACATTACAGATTTGATTTGGTGACCCATTTGGTTCCTTTGGTTATGACCAGTTTGGGATCATCATTTTATATCTCTCTTTATAGGGATCGTCCATTATACCTTCATGTTCAGGGCCAGACACGGGAATTAGTGGACAGTAAGTAATGGTTTGGCTCACATCCCACTTTTTGTAAAGGACAAAGTACAGGGCTGTATAGAATATGTTCGCAGAATGTTCCTGGTGGGTGTTGTAATTTGTGTATGAACTGCTTATGAGTGTGCTGGGGGTATAGAGAGGCTGAGGACCACATGTTTGGGTGTCCTGTAGAATGGATTAATATAGGGGTAATTGTGCATTGGCTGGGTCTGTCAATGGGTACTAGTCAGTTCATTCATTCCTTCGGTATATTATCTCACTCTGTTTTTCCATAGGAGCAGTAAACCGAATCAAAGAAATTATCACCAACGGGGTGGTCAAAGCTGCCACGGGGACAAGTCCAACTTTCAATGGTGCGACAGTCACTGTGTATCACCAGCCAGCGCCCATTGCACAGTTGTCTCCAGCCGTTAGCCAGAAGCCTCCCTTCCAGTCAGGGGTAAGTTTAGTGGAGAGATCATTAACCGTGTTGTCATTTCTGTAAAAGTGGTATGTGCCAAATAATGTGGAAAGTATGAAGGAAAATCCTGAAATCCAACCCGAGGCTTACCTGCTGATGCTATCCTATTAATGGACCATTTCGGCTTCTAAGAGGCAGTGAACATCTGAACACATGTTTGTTTACTTTGATGTATTCTAGAAAGGGCATCGATACAGATCAGAGCATGTCTACACTGTACATTTGGAAGTTCTGGTTTGATTATGTGATGGCAGCTGGAGGATTAAGAAGGCTGAGTCTGGTGAAGTAAGACTCTGCTGATACAATCCTCCTAGAAAACCGGGTGGGAGAGAGCAGCCCTCATTGGAGAACACCACAGGGCTGACTGTACGACCCAACATGCTTTGCTTGTTTCACAGAAGACTGTGCTGTAGGTTCTTAAGACTTACAGCACTCGGGGGCTGTAGGTGCACTTAGTGAGTCTTTGCTTTGCACCTGGTGAGTAGGTCTTGCTGAACGGAGGAAGGTGTTAATGTTCTAGGTAGGTACATGGCCCGTGTAGTGCTCATTTAAGTTAAGCTACTTTATAAAGTTTGTTTTTATGGGCTCATGGTGGAAATTATAGGGGGTCCTCATTTTGGCAGTGATTAAAAGTATCTGGAGGATTAAACTTTTCTGCAAAATAATTTTCAAGATTACGATTTAATTATGTGTTGTGTGTTTAATCTGAGGTATTCTGTTTTTCTACAGATGCATTATGTTCAAGACAAATTATTTGTGGGTCTAGAGCATGCTGTGCCCACATTTAATGTCAAGGAGAAAGTAGAAGGTCCAGGCTGCTCCTATTTGCAGCACATTCAGATTGAAACCGGTGCCAAAGTCTTCCTCAGAGGCAAAGGTTCAGGTTGCATTGAGCCAGCATCTGGCCGAGAAGCTTTTGAACCTATGTATATTTACATTAGGTATGTATGGATGGCTGGGGCTGAGGACATTTGAGTGCTTGTCAGCTGCTCAGTACGGGCAGGAGTGATTCAAAAGGAGTAAGAAGATAGGTTTGATAAATAGTAACATGAGGAATGTAGGTCAGTACTAACAGTAATCACTTTAAATTTCTTATTTATTCATTGGACAGAGGGAGATAGCACAAGCAGGGGGAGCCAGGAGGGAGAGGGAGAAGCAGGCTTCCCGCGGAGCAGGGAGCCCGATGCGGGGCTCGATCCCAGGACCCCGGGATCGTGACCTGAGCCGAAGGCAGATGCTTAACTGACTGAGTCACCCAGGCGCCCCCAGTAATCACTTAATAAATAGTGAATAAGAACTGTTGAATTAGGAGGTGGAATGGTCTTTTAGTATTCAGGTTCTTGGGTTTTATACAGATCTGTGACCCTGAAATGAGCTGTGATGAGCCTAAAGTCATCTTCACCTAAAGCTATGGTGATATTAATGCATTTTACAGTTATTTTAGTGACTAAAATGTTTTTTAATACTTTAAAAGTATTTGTTTTAATGATAGTAGTTAGGGGTTAAGGGGCATATTATAAGACGTTACTTTGTGATTTTCAGAAGCTTAGATTGGTGCTATGTTGAATATGTTAAATTTGTGTATAGCATACAAAGTGAAAGCAAAATTCTGTATCCTTTACTCTTCTCCTCTTTGACTTTTTGGTTCTTGTTTCTTTGCAGTCATCCGAAACCAGAAGGCCTGGCCGCTGCCAAGAAACTCTGTGAGAATCTCTTGCAAACAGTGAGTTACATTTGTGTGTCTGATACTCTGAAGAGCCACTGCCATTTGTCTTAGCTGTTTTCCCACCTGTATTGGTTTCCTAGGGCTGCCATATCAAAATTCCCTCACACTAGGTGACTTAAAACAACAGAAATTTATTTTCTCATGTTCAGGAAGCCAGACAGACATTCAGAATCAAAGTGTGGGCAGGGTTGGTTCCTTCTGAACGAATGCTGTGAGGGAGGATGCTCCATGCCTCTCCCGGCTTACCGGCCTTTGCATTCTTTCCCCAAACAGCAGAGCTCCATCCTCTGCTCCGTTGTCTCCTGGCCTACTCCTGTGTCTCGTCTGCCTGTCTCTCGTAAGGGTAGCAGTCCTTGCATGTAGGGCCCACCATGACCCAGAATGACTTCATGTTAACAGACTGTATCTGCAAAGGCCTGGTTTCCAAATAAGGTCAGATTCTGAGGTTCTGGGCAGACGTGAATTTTGGAACCACTACACCATTCTAGCAACTCAGATTCTCCATAAGGAAGACAAACTTCCCTAGCCAGGGTCAGCTGGCATGCAGTTCTTCTTTAGGAACTATTTCAGTGTGGAATTTTGAAATCCGGTACATCAGTATAAAATCTCAATGTCGTCAGGTATTTAAATAGTACTTCAATCTTGGCCCAGTCGTTTACCGGTGGGCATTCCAAATTTTTCTTAGCAGTAGGTTTAGCTAAAGTAAGGGTAGAGCTATATTAGTTTAAAACCAGTTAACAATGCCTTTGGGCTAACTGCTTATTTGATTACCTGTTCTTTTTTTTTTTTTTTTTTTT